TCGAATATTGAATACCCACTCTTATATTTATAAAGGCTTTTTTTCAAAAGTTCCCCATGGTCTTTTTTAATTGGTGAGTGTTCAGTGTTAATATTTAAAAATCGGTCTTATTTACTTCTATGTACCATTAAGAATACATTAATAGTGTTAATATGATAATATTTTCGTGGTTCCATTTTCAAAATGTAAAGCTTTAATGTGGAGACATTAAATGTGGATCGCATTTGCAGCTTTAAATTAAGTCTCATTTTTTTTAATTTGAACTCAATGGGAGCTAATTTTTATGAACCATTTAGTAATCATCGTATCCTTTTAATTGTACTATTGCTGTATTATTAGGTACGGCACATACAAATTCAGGTCTCTGCCTCTTTTCGATTGCTCAAGACCAGAGAAGGATGGAATGCTATGATGTTCTCGGCTAATGTATGGGGTTAAGATAGGCAGACATAAGAAAAGTGCTTAATTCTACTGAATTTAGATTGAATAATAAATGAGGATTTTACGATTTAAATTTTTGCTGTGGAAAGGTTAAGTTGAGAATGTGATGTTGATAATTCACAATCGAGTGTACTACATTTGAAAAATCTGGATCATTACAAGAAAGGTCAAAAATATTGAATGAATATCGCATAGAAGCTAGAGATTTGGAAGTGGTTTAGTGTGAACTAGAACTACTAAAATATGTAGTACCATTATTTAAATAAAAGTACAGATCATGATAGCAGATAAAAAGTAGCCACATTTCATATATGCATATCCAACTCTGGTTTTCTGTAATCTGTACTCAGTGAAAAGTCCACCTTAACATTTTAGATTCGTTGCAACAGTTCGTGTTAGGGCTTTTTAGTACTCAATATGCACTATTTCTTCAGTTAGATTATATTTATACCCTCAGCAATATGGCTAGAATGTGCCCAGTCGAAATAAGGGTTTTAGACCTTAGGTCTCTTTTGACCAAATCCGTTTCAGGACATTTGGAGTCGATCTAGCGATGTCCCTCCGTCCATCTGTCTGTCTGACTGGCTGGTGCGCACGATAACTCTCGAAGGGAGTATCCGGTTTGGTCCAAACTTAGTTCATCGTAATATTTTTTCACACTTAGATCGAGTTCGGAGGTGGGCTATATTGGTCCACTCCTTCTGGTACCTCCCCCACAAAAGGTCGAAATTTTAAAAAAAATATATATTTCTACACAGATAGAGAAACGATAATCCGATTTTGCTCCAACATTGCATATCCTAATATTTGCGTCAGTGCTAGGTCAGGTGCGAAAATGGGCAATATCGGTCCACTCCATCAAGTTCCTCCCCCACAAAGGGTCAAAATTTTTAGTAATTACAACTCTTATAAAATATGATGAAAGAGTCCGATTGTCTACAAATTTCACACATCCCAATATTTTTATAAACTCAACTCACTCATTGTGGTACCTCCCCCACTAAAGGTCAACATTTTCAATATCCATTAAGCTCATAAAATGCAAACTAACATCCGATTCCATTTATACTTGGCACATCTGAATATTTCCCTCAACACAGGATCTGTTATGAAAAAGGTGGATATCGGACCTTCTGGTACCTCCCCAACAAAGGGTCAAAATTTTGAATATCCATGAAGGTAAAAAACGCGAAATAAGCATCAGGTTCACTTTATACTTCACCCATCCCATTATTTGCACTAACACAAGATCTATTGTTAAGATGGGATATGTCGATCCACTCCTTCTAGTACCTCCGTCTCAAAGGTTCAAAATTTTGAATATCCATGAAACTCATATATAGAAAAATTAACATCCGATTCCATTCCAGACTTGGTACATCTCGATATTTCCATCAACACAAGATCTGTGATAAAGATGGTAGAGAGGAGGATTCAAGATTTTGGAAAACAAAACGCTCAAAGAAAGCGATATATAGATTTTTGCTGATATATAGATGATATATGTCTTCGAAACCCTTCTGGTACCTCACTCACAAAGGGTCACAATTTGCAATACTTTTATCTGTCATAACTTGCGAAACAAGTCTGCGATTCTTTACAACTTGCAATCAAAATTAATCGAAAAATGGCTGAGGGTATTAGTCTGTCGGCAGATCCGATTGATACTTTTTAATTTGTTTTTTTAATTTTCAGGCTTTTATATATTATTCAAGATTTCACTTTTTCTGATAGAATAATAGGAAAATTGTATTGTTGTTTGCAAAACCGCCACCAGATATCAATAGAGACCTCAATATCAATCTTCGAGATTCATGCATTTTACACTTTTCGTTCCTTCCTTCGTACCTTCCTTCTCCCAATGCCAAATTTAGTACTTCTTAGTATTCTTCGAACAATTATAGTACACGTAGTACAAATTTGGAAAATCACCTCTTTATCAGAAACGTACCACCAAGAGGGACCCCAATACAAAATTTCAGATTCATCCGTTCACCCAACTTTCTAAATTTTTAACCATTTAGTAAAGTTTTCACACTAAGTACAAATTTCCAAAACGATCTTCATATATCATATTTACTTTCTAATCTTGATTCTCATTTCATTTCATTTCATTCCGTTCACATAAGACCAAATTGTACCAAATAAGGTACATTTCAGTTCCTTTCACACACTTATAGTACATCTATTATACACTCCATCAGTGACCCTCATTCCAAATTTAAGAGTTTTAACTAGTAAAGCCACAATTAGTCAATCACTTTGCTCTTTTATTAATATAGAGAATTCAAACGAAGTATTGAAAGCTCTTCGACAACAACTAACACCGATGCCAGGACTCATTTTTGTAAATATTACTTACCCCTCAATCGTAGCATAAGGGAAATCATTGTGAGCGGTTAAATGCTAAAATAGTTAATTTCAATACGTTTTTTTTGTAAGGAAAATAAGATTATCCGCCACCTTAGGCTTTTCTTATAAAGTACTCACAGTGTCCGCTTTTTCGTTAGCGGAAATTAACCGTAAAAGAAAAAGGATAGAATAGGGATAAGTGTAGGAGTAGAGCTGATGTTATGAGTTTTTGTGTAGGATCAATAAGAGTTTATGGCTCATGGTTGAGAAGTAGAGTCGACGTAAGGAGGTAGTTTTGGAAGTATGTACTCATGTATACGAAAAATACTAAACGGTAGTAAAATGAGTGCAATTTGCATTTTAGAGAAACGGATTGAGTTGCAATCTTAAAATTTTAAATTAACATTACTGGTGGAGAGTTGGATTGGGATATGGAGGAAGTTTTCGAAATTTGTACTTATGTGTAAGAAAAGAACTAAATGGTAGTTTGGTGCAATTTCGATTTGGGTGATCCTATAGAATTGGAAATAAAACAACTATTAGATTGTAATACTGAGGAATGTATGTAGTGTTGAAAATTCGTACTTGTGTGTACTAAAAACTTAAATTTTGGTTAACCGGTAGAGTTGGAATCCTGAAATTTGGAAAAAAAATTATTTTGAACTATATAATGTAATTAGTTTTGAAATCTGTACTTATGTGTACTAAATGGTACTAAATTTGGAACAATTTGGATTTGAGTAAAAATTTGTACTTATGTGCACGAAAGGTACTGAATGATACTAAATTTTGTATTACGTGAATGGAAACCGCTTGAAATATTAAATTTGGCATTAGGATCACTGTTTGTGTGTAGGTTTGAAATAAGAACCATCTTTTTTATAGGGATTTATTAATTAACCCATGTATAATTTCAATACTTATCATCTTAGGAATACGACAAGTGCCTATTCATTAAATTATCTTAAATATTTTGCATTGAGAGAGATGGATTGAAATGTTTACAACAATTTTTAGACTGACTTCAGCTGCAACAGATCTTTTTTGAAATATCGTCGAAATACTATCGTTGCATTCAGCAACAGAGCAGATATAAAATCTCCGTTTTTTGCTTCAAATGGACGCAATAAAATGGGTCATTAGGGTAAACAAGTAAAAAATCAGCAAAGTTCGGCCGGGCCGAACATTTAATACCATTTTGAGGGATCTTGAATAATTTCAAAAATCCTTCAAAATGACCACTTAAATGAAAACCGTTAAATGGTGGATATACGAAGACGTGAACCTGCATAAACAATTTTTTGTCATAAGCTGTAGTACCCATTACGAACTGTACAAAATACTTTGTACATCCTTTTGTGTGCGGTTGAGGCGCTGGGAAAATCTAACAATTAAAAATAAATATTTAAACATTATCAGTTTCCCAGCGGTCATAAAATACCACATGTGTACAATTCAGTGATCTTGTGCGCTGTCGCATATGGTAATGTGTAAAATAATAAAGTCCATGACCCACACACACACACAATTATCGATGCGCCAGTAGGTAGCCAAGACCACTTGAATGAAGGGACAAACAGCTACGCAATGGTTCATTGTAAATCTAAAAATAGATAAGGACAATTGTGTGGCTGCGAATAGGTTAAGTTAGATCAGTTTTTGTAGCAGTTAAGAATAATATTTTTGAAAATAAAATCAGATTTAAATCAGCAACCCAAACGAACGGTTGTGTTTTATTTCTCAGGAGTGAGATTTGGAACTGATCTCAACACAGAGTGGTTAGTTTCCCTTCTCACTTGTACACGAACTTTAAATTTTTTTTTTTTTTTTTTTTTTTTTTTTTTATTAATATTTTTTTTATTCTTTATTCATCTTTATTATTCATTTAAAATTCTAATACAATTTATGTGTATATAATTCCACGAAGCTATACTTAGCTTGTATGTGGATAATATATAAATATGAATTGACATTATATTATTGTACATAACTGTAGACTTCATAAAAATAAATCATTTTTAATTTGCATTATTTACGAAATTTGAAACATTTCCGGTGAATAATATCGCTTAAATCTCAAAAAGCTTCAAGCTTTAAATATGAAATTTGTATGTGGATAATATATAAATATGAATTGACATTATATTATTGTACATAACTGTAGACTTCATAAAAATAAATCATTTTTAATTTGCATTATTTACGAAATTTGAAACATTTCCGGTGAATAATATCGCTTAAATCTCAAAAAGCTTCAAGCTTTAAATATGAAATTTGAAATAATTCCGGTCAAAAATGTCGTAAAAATCATCAAAATACCGAATATCGGGGGTACCATTATATGGGGGCCATACGATATCGTGGGCCGATATAGCCCCTCTTCGAACTGACTGCACACAAAAGATTGATTTGTGAAAAATGTTGGCTTCCTATCTTAATTCATTTTGACTCTTGTGTGATTACAACAGGTGGACAGACGGTGATCAAGAATATATATACTTTATTAGGTCTAAAATTATTATTTCGATGTATGATAGAGGGTATAAAAAGAAACCAAAGTTTAGTACTAAAAATTGAAATCAGGTTCAAACTCACAACACAAAACTGAAGAAATTACAACTTTGCTAAAGAAATGCCCTGCCTTGGATTTTCTCATCCACCCAGACATTGAATGTTGTCGCAAACATAACGCTGAACCAAGTTTACCGGCACTGCACCAAGTGCAGCTGAGCGAAACTTTGAACACGAAAACATAAGCTTGTAAAACGCTTAACAAAAATTGTACAAAATGTTGGCATTCAGTTAACGATTAAGCGCGTAAGAGTAAAGTACCAAAAAAAAATTGTCAGAGGGCCAATAAACCCAAAATCGATAACAAAAAACGTGAGTGGCAGCAGTGATGACAAAGTTGAGGGAAAATAAAGCAAAAAAAAAAACAAAAATAATTATAAAAAATACCGAAACAAAAACTATTAAATAAAATGCAACTATTTTTTTACTAAAACAAAATTCAGTTTTTTTGTTAATTGTGGAGATGTGTTTAACAAACAACCACAAATATTTATATTGGAGTATTATAAAACATTGATGAAACAGAATGGAATTTACAAACCAAAAAAAAATATTTTAACATAATTTCATGTTAATAAAAACAAAAAAATAATAATAAATCTAAAAAAAAAACATAAATGAAACTAAAGGTGAATGCACAAAAACCGCGCAATAAAATTGAATTCAAGAATTTGTTGTAAAACCAAATAATGAAAACACCAAATCAAACTCAAGGCCGTTTAACTGTTTTATTTATTATTAATTTTCCAAAAAACCAACAAATTACAAAAACACGAAAATAATAATAAAACAATAAATACAACCACAACTATTGTTACAAAATTCGTTACGCTTTGTTCTTCAATTATAAACAATAAAGCAATTTTTTTGGTTATGAAAAAAAATCAGAAAAAATATTATTAGCCATATATGAGTATGAATAACGGTCCGTGTGTGTAACTACTTCTCTGCTAATAAAATTTACCAATATTTACCAAAAATATATCACGAAAAATAAAAGACACAAAAATACCTTCGTACATTCATGTATTCGCCAACCAACCGCCCGCCTAGCATACAGAGTGGATATTTACTCCGTACCTGTAACTGTGGCCGGCCGTATGGGCCAAAAGTGAGAGTGTTTGGCAATTGTTTAACCGGCCACTTTTGGAATATCAGACGCGTTATATTATTGTATGAAAAACAATAACAACAGCAACAAAAACAGAAACAGAAACGCCATCATAACCAACCCACGGACAACAAACAAACGAAATATAAACAACAAAAACAACAATAACTTGATTCATAAACTGACCAACCTCACAGTGTGTGAAATACATACATACATACATACATGCATAGAGACATACATACGTGAATATTCAACTACGGCACAATAAACTATTTTGTTAACACTATGTGAACCGGATGGGGTCAAAATGTTTACAAAAAAATATTTATTGAAAAAGTCTTAAAGTTCGACCGGTATTCGGATTTTTACCCCCTTCAGTCTACATAAAGCCGAGGCTGCCGTTATTGTGGCAATTGTTTCCAGTATATTTATATCTGAATTGATTAAAAAATATCAAATAATAACAATTTGCTAAAAAAATCGGTTTGTTAATGTAACAAAGGGTGCATTTTTTAAGAGCTATAGGAAAGTTAAAAAAAAAAAAACATAAAAAAAGAGAGAAAAATTGAAATGTTTTTTTGAATTGATAGTACGCTCCATATAATTTTATAAATGAAGATTATTTCATGCAATTGTTGAATCAAATTGACCTTCCGCTTAATCCAATTTTAGTATACGCTTTCGGAAGCATTTCGGTCAATTGGAGCGGGCTCGTCTGTATAAACATGAGCTTTAGCATAGCCCCCCTACAAAAAAAAATTGACCGGCCCCGATCGTGAAATAACATTTTCTCGGAACTCGCCTCATAATAAGGCCATTGTTAGGCGTGCTTTGTGGCAGGTGACACGTCTTGTTGAAACCACATGCCATTCATGACAAGCTCTTGCATTTTGGCCAAAAAAGTTGAATATCATCTCACGGTAATGCTCAAAGTACGATCCAATGATTCCACCAGCCCATGTTTGTCGGTGAAACAAAACACCAAAACGTCCTTGAAATGTTTTAATCAGGGTTACCAAAAAAATAATAGCTAAAAACTCACCCTTTACATACATGTGGGCCGATCATATCCCAGTTTTGGATGCAGATATTTTTATCCACATGTCTCAAAAAGTTTTAAAGCGAACTGTCGTTTAGTGGGATTTAATAAATCTCTTTGTTGGTAGAAGAACATATGATCCCTCCTCCTTTGTGCATAGCCCACATACAGGGTCCACCAAGTGAATTGTTGTTAAGCTATAAAAAACTGTTTTGCTAGCTGTAATGAAAAATAATTTCATTCAAATGGCTGCCTTGGTTGGTCATGCAGTGATCAGCTTTTGGAATTTGCTGTATTTCACCAATGACTTCACGATTATTAGTCTTTAAAGCGTCTATTGTTTCTGGCTTGTCGGCGACCTATAAATAACAGTGCAACATTGCCAAATCGCGGTTGAGGTGTACAACCAACATCAGCCCTGAGGCTGATAATGCTATCTTCAAAAAACAACCCTCAAAACATTGAGTGTAACTTCGACTGTGTGGCTCGTAGCGCCGTCCTGTTGAAACCCAATGTTGCCAATATCCTCCTCTTCCATTTTTGTTGAGAAATATGTCCCGATATCGTTACGGCCACTACTTGCACATTTTCGAAGTAAAATCGCCCATTTATACCTCTGGACCAAATTGCGCACCATTCAGTGACACGTTTTGGGTGCATCGGCTTTTCTATGTTTACGGAGTTTACGGCGCTTCTCTTCTTCGAAAATTCTTACACACTCATTCTGCAACATTACCATGAATTTCAGAGTAATATCGCATGTTTCCCAATGTTGTTCAAGCGTATACACAGCCATATTCGTTCAGCGAAAGTATACAACTAAGTATCTATGAAGATATGAGCTAAGTGATACCATTCACAAAATAAGCAATTGTTGAAAAATACGTTAGATGGAAGACCCTGTATAACGGTATCCGCCGATATCAGGTATTTTTTATGATTTTAGCCAAATAGGCATTAATAGGCACTAATCCCTCCGTCAGAAATTTGTGTAGATAAGTTAACGTACCCCCAATGTTTGGTAAACTTATCATTTGAGACGTGCCTCATCGAAATAAAGGTTCTAGACCCAAGGTATCTTTGAACGATATCCGTTTCAGGACATTTGGAGTCGATCTAGTGGTGTCCGACAGTCTGTCTGGTTATTTGGTGAGCACCATAACTCTCAAAGGGAGTCTCTCTCAAAATTGTCCTAAACGTGGCACTTTGTAATATTATTATGGGTCTTTGATCTAGTTCTAGATGGAAAATATCGGTTTACTTCAATTACCTCCCCTCAAAAGGTTACAATTTCCAATAATCATAACTCTTATAAAATGTGAAATAATTCCCAAGATTTGTACACACCGATGAAGAACAGGATAACTATACCGCTCATAAAATGCGGAATGAGCATCGGATTGTATTCAAGGTTGGCACATCCCAATATTTTGATCAATACAAGATCTACTGTGGAGATGATATATATATCGCTTCACTCCTTCTGGTACCACCCTCCAAAAAGGGGTCCAAATTTTAAATAATTATAATAATCTCGAAATATGTGAACCAAGTCAAGGATTCTTTTCAAATTTAGTATATCTAAAAATTTTCGAAGCCACTCTCTTACAACTCTTAAATGGTGGAATTATAACCCTTAACTTGCGAAAAAAAAGTAAATGGTTTTCTTCAGACATCGTATATCTTAATATTCCTATCTAATGTCATTTTTCACTAATGTTCAAGGTACCTCTTCCATATAGGGCAAACATTTAATATAATCGGAACGCAAATCAAAATAAACGGACATTGGCTGAGGGAATACATGCTCATACCCGCATCCTATAAAAATTTACTTGTTATTTTTATATTATTGATTATTCTGATAAATGGAATACAATTTAAACCCATATATCCCATTTTTAAGATCTAATGTTTAGAAATGTTTGTGTGAAACTTAAAGAAAACTGTGGAATACTTTCTTACAGGATGGGATAAAAAAAAACTGCAACAAATTCAAAGCCAAAATTTTTATTTTTTTAAATTTTATTAAATCAAAGCAAAAAATGTCGGAAATAGCATCAAATTTTAGAATAAATTTAGATTTGTTCGAATTGGTCACCTTTGGCACGAATTATGGCCGTCAATGTTGTTCTGCGGTATTTTGGCCCATTCCCACCGAAATGCTTGTTTGAGGTGATCAATACTTTGGTATTTTTAAGTGCCAACCTTGATTTACCAAAATATTACAGACACAATAGTCCAACGGATTGGTATCCGGGGATTTTGGTGGCCATTGTGCACTGGAAATGAAGCGAGAAACCTCATTTTGTAACCATTCTTGGGAGGCGCGTGCTAAGTGCGATGGATGGTCCTGTTGGAATGTCCAAGGTCTGCGGCCAGAATGTTTGCGTGCCCAAGGCTTTAATACACCCTCCAGAATAATATTCGGCATTTATTATGATGCCACGGTAGATTAATACGAGCGGAGAGCGACCATAGGCTGTTATGGCGGTTCACACCATCACCATTGCCCGCGCTTGAGTTCTGGTGGCCAACCAAAGGTGCATATTTTCAGCTGACCTCTTTGACAAGTAAACACGATCAGTTTGTTTGTTTACAAACTGCTGAACAACGAATGTTTTCTCATCGGAGAAAACCAAATTCGGCAGTTCACCACTTTCAGCCAAGCGAAGCAACTCTTTAGCTCTTTTGAGTCTACTTTCTTGCTGTTGCGGTGTAAGTTCTTGCTCTTTTTGAAATTTCAATGCCTTTATCCTGAGCTCATTATTCAATATTTGCCGAATGAAATATTGCGATATGTTCAGCTCACGAGCCATTTTTCGGCCATTGCGACACGGGTTTCGATCAAGTCGCCTCTTTACTTTCCGTCCACTTCCTTGACGTCGGGTATCACGGTAACGAGGGGTTGTACGAGACACAAAGGTTTATTCACATTTAAATGCTGGAGTGCTCTAACGATAGCCACAGTGTCTAATATTTGTTTAAATTTTAGGACATCCAAATATTTTTGTATATGTTACAACAAGTGTGAATATTAGAATTATCGGTAACCTTTTTCAAAATTCATAGTAGTGTGTTTTAAATATTCCAAATGGGTATTCCAGTAGGTGAGTACCCGATATATCAGACTCAAGTGGCGTCCAGGAATGGACAATATTGATGCGAAAGATTCTTCCAGAAAAGATAAGTGCGGATACGAGTGCTTGAATTGCCATATATAGGTATCCGCCGATTATTTATATTGGCTGTGTGCAAGTACAGGTCTCCATTTGACTGACCACCCATTGATATTTTTATGCACATCTTATCTGCAGTTACTACTCTAAATTAATAAAACGGTTTAAAAGCCCAGCCAGCCCAGCCCTATCTTAGCGCAAGTAACTCTCGAAATTTTTCGATTTTGAATTAGCATTTAATTCTGCAAAAATAAAATCGGTACAAAAAACCCTCACGATTCGCATAGTGTTAAAGAATGGATTAAGCCACACCATATAATAACGTCGGATATAAAAATATCTGCAAGACAGAAAACTTGTTTTATATGGTCACGACAACGGGGACTGGTGGAATGGTTACAAAACCCCAACGAAAAAAACGTTTATTTGTATTACTTGGCCAATGTTTCAGCATGCCACATGTTGCACACATGATACGAGCTGTGCAAACACACACACATGCATAGACGCAAGTGTTTTAACCCACTTTTGAGTTGACGTATTATTCCCTCTTGTCGTGTGAACAACCTTTAAACAAGTTTGCCACTATTTTGCCAAACTGCCGTACATTGCCTTGACAGCACACACACACATATAGACAGACACATGCATATATTACTTTCAATTTCAGTTCAACTTAAAAGGAATGCTTTAGAAAAAACAAAACAAGTTGTTGGTTCTTCATGTGATGTAATCGGAGTGTATTAAGTGTCCCCCTTTTTTTGCAATAAAACAACGCCCTCTATAAATGTTTAATAATGCCACAAAGATCGCCCTTCAAACAATCACATCATCATCAGCAGCAGCAGCAGTTTCATCATCAATCACCACCGGTTCTACAAGAAATCCAAGAGGCACAACTTCAACGTCATCGTCGTAGTGAACGCCAACGACATCATTGTCATTATTATGGCCTAAGTTTGTTAGCGTGGCCAGTATTAGCCATCTTGTTAGCCCAATGTAAGTATGGTCAAACTTGTTTATTTGATAATCGGAATTTTATTATAATTAACAGAGCTGAGTAGCGATGGTACTCCACACACAAGCTCACACACAAACTAGATATTGAAATGTGGGTTAGGAACCCAAATTTTAATGCAATGCCTTAAATAAATGTTTGTGTTTTTTTTAGTAAATATCGGAAATGGATTTTGTAGGGTTGCATATATTATGGGATGTCTTTTTACACCCTCCATATTAACTTTATCGTTCCCTTTGTAACTGACCCCGAAATAATAAAACAACATTAATTATACCCTCAGTCATATGGCTACAGAGGGTATATATCATTTAATACAGCCGAAACTTGCCTCATCGAAATAATTTTTTTAGACCCTGTGTCTCTTTGGACCAAATCCGTTTCAGGACATTGGGAGTCGACCTAGCGATATCCTTCCGTCCGTCTGTCTAGCTGGTGCGAACGATAACTCTCGAAGGGAGAATCGGATTTGGCCCAAACTTGTCAAACTTAGATCGAGTTCGAGATGGACAAAATCAGACCACTCCTTCTGGTACCTCTCCCACAAAAGGTCAACATTTTCTAAGAAAACGAGTTAATGGAAATATTTAGATGTACCAAGTCTGAATGGAATGGAATTAGGGTTTTATGAGCTTCATGGATATTCAAAATTTTGACCCATTAGACTTACATTACACAGACTTACAGACTTACTTCTTCACAGCAGACCTTGTGTTATTACAAATAATGGGATTTTATATTCATTGTGGTTATTCAAAACTTTGACCCTTTGTGGGGCAGGTACCAAAAGAAATGATCCGATCTCTACCATTTTTATAACAGATCTTGTGTTGATTACAATATTGAAATGCACCACGTCTGAATCGAATCGGATGTTTATTTCGGTTTTATGAGCTTCGTGGATATTCAAAAATTTGAACCTTTGTGAGGGAGGTACCAGAAGGGGTGGACTGATATATTCCATCTTCACACCAGACCTTGGATTAATAAAATAGTGTGTTCTGTAAAATTTGAAGACAATCGGACTCTTACTTCACATTTCAAGTATTGTACTTGATGGAGTGGACTGATAATGTCCATTTTCGCACCTGACGTAGGACTGATGGAATTATTAGGATTTGCAAAGTTGGAGCAAAATCGGATCATCCTTTCATTTTTTGGGCAGTAATATATATATATATATATATATATATTTTGGAAAATTTCGACCTTATATGGGGTGGTACCAGAAGGAGTGGTCCGAACTCCGATCTAAGTTACATAATAATATTACGATGTACCAAGTTTGAACCAAATCGGATACTCCCTTCGAGAGTTATAGTGTGCACCAGTCAGACAGACGAACGGACAGATGGACACCCCCAGATCGACTCCAAATGTCCTGAAATAGATTTGGTCTAAAGAAACCTAGAGTATATAAGCGTTATTTCGATGAGGCACGTTTTGGACGAATCAAATGATGCATACCCTCTGTAGCCATGAGGCTGAAGGCCATGTGGGAATTAATCCGTTTGTGTATATTATGTCTGTAGGACTTTTGGTATTGAAAATGGGCAATGTAGGTAAACGTATAACGGTTCATATTTTCGGTATTTTGTTGATTTTAACGACATTGTTCACCGGAATTGTTTTAAATTTGGTAATAAAAGTTCGTAATGGATACTACAGCCTATGACAGAAAATTGTCTATGCAGGTCCACGTCTTCATATAGCCCCCATATAACAGTACCTCTCGATATTCTGTATTTTGATCATTTCACCGGAATTGTTTCAAATTTCAAAGATTCGCATTTGGACATTGTAATTGCTTATGACAAAAAGGCCACGTCCTATGCTAGTCCACGTCGTCGTATAGATCCTAATATAACGGCTACATTCGGCATTTTTAAGATTTTAATTTTTAACGGATTTAATTTTTTTGAAAATTACCAAATTTGTTTCCAATGGTGGAGGGCATTAAAAGTTCGACCCGGCCGAACTTACAGATCCGAAAATAAATTTGTCAAATTATATTGAAATCGGTTTAGATTTGGATATAGATCCCATACATATTTTCAACCGGTTTCGTTTATTTGATGCACCAAACACGACATGTATGTTCAATTCCAATGAAATTGGGAATGTGTGACGGGATTTTGATTAGAAAATAAATTAGTCAAATTATATTAAAATCGGTTCAGATTTGGATATAGCTCCCATATATATTCTCGTCCGATTTCACATATTTGATGCACCCAAGGCGGGAGAGACGAAATCTGGCAACAGAAAAAAATTGCCAAATTATATTGAAATCAGTTGAGGTTTGGGTACAGCTAACATATATATTTCGGCCGATTTCATACATGTTATGCACCAAACACGATATATATGACCGATTCCAATGAAATTCAGAATGTGTGGCGAAATTGGGTTACAAATTAATTGGAAATTAGTTAAGATTTGGATATAGCTCCCATATATATATTCTCGGCCGAATTCACATATTTGACGCACCAATTTCAATGAAATATGAAAGGTGTGGCGGAATTTTGTGCAAAAGTAAATTTTTTAAAATTATATTTAAATCGGATCAGATTGGGATTTGATTTTAACAAGAACTATTGAGCCACATCGCCTTAGGCTAACAATAAACAACTACACAACAATTAATTTGAAATACGCTTATTACGGGGAAGTATGTTGCTACCTCGAATTCACTGATTGCAATAGAAATGCCACTCAACTTCAAAAGATTGCAGTTTCCTGCACGATTGGTATTTGCTATGAAATAAGTAAATACGAAAGACAAACCCTTCGTGTACTGCTTTTCTAATGGTTTTGTTTATTTACGCATTAAAGTAGTGCAACATTTTTTTTTTTTAATTTTTACATTTTTGTTTTTTTTTTTTCTACCAACATACATTCGTAAATAAAATTTTGAATGCATATAAAATCAAAAGGGGTAGCGAAGCGCACCGGGTTCAGCTAGTATAATATATTTGTATTTAATACTTTAAAATATATTAAGTACTTTTTGTACGCTTTTGTACGAAATTAGCGAATTTTTTGCTAATCATTTTATTCATCGCATACAAAGTAACATAAAGTTCTAAATTAATCCCTCCCGGTTTTAGTAGATTATGGTACTAGTTTCCAAACTACGAATAATTCTTTACGAACGAGACAATTCCTTCCATATTCGTTTCATAACAAGTCTAAGTTCTATAAAAATTGATAAAATATTATTCTCAGATTTTGAACTTTTTGAACGTTTTCACAGAGTTTTCCATCAGAATTTAATTTGGTTATCATTAAAAACAAATTTCAATACAGATTCTTTTTTTGGTATAGGCTAAATTTACTAATTTTTAAGGTTTTTATACATTGTTTCAAAGAATTGGCTGCAATTTGGTTTCTTAAAACACTCACTTTTCTATTCTGCATAACACAACAGACAAATTTGTAATAGGGTGTTTCCACAACCAGCAATGCCTACTAAGCCCATTCGTATTGTTTTAGTTTAAAACAATTTTACATTTTGATGTCTGCTGCTTGAATTTGATCAAACAGGTTTTTTTAATAGTTGGACTTTTGAAATTTGTAGCATCCATGTGAGAGCGAACAAACCAACGAACACCTGTCGGATGTTTATTTTAGACAACGATAACGAGCTCTGCTCACACACAAAGTGTCAAGGTCATTGGAAATAAGAGAAATACATGAATTGATATCATTGGACTTTATTTTCTTTTCTTCAACCAACACCTAGAATACATCTGTGCCTTTGCGTTCAAATAAAATGCCGTAAAATCCTAATGGAAGGTAAAACGAAATAATACATTGAAAACGTATTCGTGGTCTGTCTCATCATTGGGACATTATGTTCGAATTCTTAGAGGCATAAATTAGCTGCTACTTTATAAGTTTAGTGCTAAGGTCGCCGCGAATAATTTTATGTTAATCAACAGTTGTTAACAGATATCAGGGTTAACATTAATGACCCTAACACATTGATCATTGGAATCTGCATTGAAACTGCTCTAAACAGAAACATAGCCATCAACGGCAACTGAAATGATGAAAGAGATATTCAGATTTCCATGTTAAATAACAGAAAGGACACACTGATGACGTACTTGAATTTTTATAGCAAACTTTTAGACTCTCCCCAGAACATAAAACCTAATAAAACAGGTTAAAAAGTATCAGTCGATTTTGCAGACAGGTGTGTTCCCTCAGCCAATCTTCGATTATTTAAATAAATTTTGACTTCTGTTATGATTATTCTGTCTATGGAGTAGGTTCCGAAAGAGGCCTATATTGTCCATTTTGTATCGGACCTAAAATAATAGAATTGTAGAAATAATGGAATGTGTGAAATATGTAGGGAACCGGATGCTTATTTCGGATTTTGTAATCGTTTTAGTTATACAAAACTTTGACCCTTTGTGGGGGAGTTACCAGAAGGTATGGTCCGATCTCGGCCATCTTGATAACAGAAATTGTGTTGATAGAAAAATGAAGATATGGCAAGTCTGAAAGTAATCGGATTTTAATTTCGCGTTTTATGAGATTCATGGATATCCAAAATTTTGACCTTTGTGGGGGACATACCAGAAGGAGTGAACCGATAACTTCACACAAGACCTTGGGTTAATAATTTGTGTCATTTGAAGATAATCGGACTCTTAAATCACATTTTATAGGAGTTATAATTATTCGAAATTTGAACTCTTTGTGGGGGAGGCAATTGATGGAGTGAACCGATATTGTCCATTTTCGCACCTTATCTAGCACTGTTGCAAATATTAGAATTCGCAAAGTTGGAGCATAATCGGATTCTCCTTTCTTTTTCTGAGCAGTATTTTTTTCAACCTTTAGTAGGGGACGTACCAAAAGGAGTGAACCGATTTTGCCCAACTCTGAACTCTAAGTTCGATAATAATATTACACTTTACCAAGTTTGGACCACATTGGATAATCACTTCCAGAGTTATCGTGCGCACACGCCATCCAAACAAACAAACGGACAGACATCGCTAGATCGACTCCAAATTTCTTGAAACGGACTTGGTCCAAAGAGTTATTTCGATGAGGCACACTTTGGCCGTATCAAAGCCATATGGCTGAGGGTATAAAAAATGTTACCTTTATGAGAGAGGTTCCAGAAGGAGCATACCGATGTATGGAATAAAAATTTTGTAATTGAATTTCCACTGATATATACCCTCATAATTCGACTACATATTCGTTTGGGAACTGAGAAATAATTTAGAATTTTGTGAGAATTATGACTCACCCGAAAAATCACATTTTCATGCCAGATCTTATGATGAAAAAATGGAATGCGAAGTTTAAAGGAAAATGCGAAATTTATTTCATATTTTAGAAATGATTTAATATTTAAAAATTTTACCTTTTAAAGGGATGTGCGAGAAGAATTCGGCAATATTTTCCATGATCCCTTTAAATATTAGATTAATATAATTTTTTCCACGAACCAAATTTGGGCTTTTTTGAGTACTCTATTAGTTTTATATGGAACATTTGTATGTATTTCTTTGAAATACAACAACTTTTGTGGAGAAGGTACCAGAAAGAAGGAATCGATATATTTCAATTGAAATGTTCCAAATATTTGTTTGGCCCAAGAACGAACTCAGATATCAGACACAGCTCACAAGTAAATGACCAAAAGTTTGTCAAGATCGGTTCCGATTTGGATATAGCTCCCATATATATCTTCAACTGATTTCGGGTTACCAAATGTCCAATATCTGTCCGAATGACCTGAATTTTGGTACATACGACCAAATTCAGTCTGGAGGCAAGTACATAAAGTTTGATGAAAGTCCGTTCAGATATAGCTATAGCCCCGTATATATTTTTCATCCGATTTGGGATTTTAAGTCCCTTACACGCGTAATATGCACTCCACAACTATGATCTTTGGTACCTGATATCAGATACAACTCAGAAATAATTCTGTCAAATTTTTTCGAGATCGGTTTAGATTTTTACATAACTTCGATATACATCATCGCCTCCGTCAAATTTGTTGAAAATCGATTCAGAGTTGGATATAGTTCCTATATTGTTACTACTCTATAGCCATGATATGTATTCCAATAAGGTTCATAGTTGGTATGACCTACTTCACATAAATTGGCAATAAAAACTTTTTTTGTTGAGGGAGCTCTTCTAAATACACATAGTGGTGTACGGTATCATATAGTCGGCCCCGCCCGACTTTTGGCCTTTCTTTATTGGTCTTGAATTGAATCTATGAGAATGTTTATCCTTCGCAAACTTTCTTAGACATCAAAGTAGTTTGTGGTGTATTGGAAACGGCCTTTACATTTCATAAAATAGCGACTTTAATCTACATACGCCTAAGGAGTAACGTTGATAAAGCTTCTATGTTGTTTGTATGAAATGATGTAATTAGCCATTTCAGTTCCCTGCCGACACAAAAATATTTATTTATAGGTCCAGGTTTTTTGGCAATGATCATCAATGCGTCACACACATCTGTCACTTTCGTATGGCAACACACCCTTTCCCAATAGCTTTTCACCCTCGTAAAAGCATTGCAACATTTCAAGTGTTAAAATCATCAAAAAATGTTTGGTATGTAAACAATTTCGAAGATCCCACCTAAGATCAACGACAACAAATTTCGATATTTTGTTTTGTTTGTTTTAAAAATAAAACTAAATAAAAGTTTGGCATTCCGATACACTGATCCGTGATTATGCATTAAAAAGCCGAACGAGGCTGTTCCAGCCAAGCTGTCCCGTCGTTCGTTTTCAATGATCCGTTTCAGATACATGTATTGAGGCGCGCATGCGTACCTTCATAGAGCTGACTAATAAAAGTTTGTGTGCCTTGTATTATGTAATTCAATACGCACAAAGTGAAGATAAGACCACTGAATTTATATTGAATTAATATAATATTTTAACTTGAGTTTTTTCGTTTTTTTTTTAATTATCAACTGACATCTTAACTGATGTATTACTCATTTAGCCAATTGGTTAGCCATGGTATGTTGATGGTGTTAATTGAATTCAACCTACATTTTTATTTTTTTGAGTATAATTTTATTGAAATTTTAACAAGGCTGACCGGTAGTAAAATCTTGCTAACTATTATTGTCGTATTTCTTGTTTCAAATTCCATGATCGAAATTGCTTTTGCGAAACTTGGGATAGCAATGATCAAATGCAAAATTGAATTAAAACACTTACTCCAATTGACAATGCGGAGCGATTTTTCCAGAAAATGTAAAACATCATGTTAAAAGGTATCAGTCGATTTTATCGACAGATATGTACTATTAGCTTATGTCTAATAATAAAATATATTTTAACTTGATTATTCAAAATGTTTAACCTTTATGGGGATGGTACTGAGGCAGTGGGCCAATATATTCTATTTCTGATCTAAATCTGATATAATTATTGCGATGTGCAAGGTTTGGACTATATCGGTATGTTTTTCCTCCCCTTTATATATATATATATATATATATATATATATATATATATATATATATATATATATATATATATATATATATATATATATATATATATATATATATATATATATATATATATATTTTTTTTTTTTTTTTTTTTTTTTTTTGGAATATTTTGTACTTTTTTGGAGGAGGTAGGAGAACGAGATGATGTATTAAATAAGATAACAAAAAATAAAACAAAATATTTAGATGTGCAATAATTACTTATTTCCAGTTTTGTGGGATTAACTGGTAATCAGTATTTCTTATATTTTGTGGGAGAGGTACCAGAAGAGGTGGACCGACATATTTCACATTTACATTACATCTGTGGCTTACAGAAATAATATAACTTTGCCCTTTCTGGTAGAGGTACCTGGAAAAATGGGCCGATGAGTTCCATATTCACATTAGAACTTATGTTGAAGAAGGTATTGCATTATGGGATGTTTAAAGAAAATTCAACTAAGTATTTTTAATTTTATGAAACTTGACTTCTTTAAAATGTGACACCTTGTGGGGGAGGTATCAAAAGGAGAAGGTCGATATTCACATTAGATCTCATTTGCGATATACTTAGTTTAGAATCGCTCTCTTTAGAGAATCGCTGTCTTTTTTTCGCATGTTTTAAGAGTTATAAATAACCAAATTATTGACCTTTCGTGGAGGAGGAAGGAGTGGTCCGAAATTTTTCCATATTTACACCTGATCTTGTGTTGATAGAAATATTGAGATGTACGAACTTCCAAGATAACCGGACTTATACTTCATATTTTATAAAAGTTTTTATTACTCAAAAATGTTACCCTTTGTGGGGAATATAATTGATAAAGTACAGGGGAGATAAAAAAACTGCAAACAAATTCAGACTGCTGTCATTTCTAAGCCACTCGTCCGACAGCTGTTATTATTATTCCAGTGACAGCTCATTATATTGTTTACAAGCGTACAAAAGCATTTTGGTGAGAATTTTCCAAAAAAAAAGTTAATCGTGATGTAATTCAAGCGTGAGAGTGTGATTTCTTTTTATTTGGCTGGAAAACCACAAGTGGCTATCGTTAGAGCACTCCAGCATTTAAAAGTGAATAAATCTTTTGTGTCTCGTACCACAGCTCGTTACCGTGATACTGGTAGCGTAGCCCGACGTCAAGGAAGTGGACGAAAGAAAACAGCAACATCAAAGTGTTCGAAAAGCAAAGAAGCGACTAGATCGAAACCCGCGTCGCAGTGACTGAAAAATGGCTCGGGAGCTGAACATATCGCAATATTCCATTCGCCATTGCCATTGAAATGCCAAAAAGTGCAAGAACTTACACCATAACAGAAAGAAAATAGGCTCAAAAGAGCTAAAGAGTTGCTTCGCTTGGCCGAAAGTTGTAAACTGCCGAATTTGGTTTTCTCCGATGAGAAAACATTCGTTGTCCAGCAGTTTGTAAACAAACAAAATGATCGTGTTTACTTGCCAAAGAGGTCAGCTGAAAATGTGCAACTTCGGTTGGCTACCAGAATCTACCATGGTTCTGGTAGCCAAAAAGTTTATACTATATCCGACATTGTTTGCTTTCATTCAATAACATTTAAAAAAATTATTTAAAAATGCTTTGTTGTAGTTTTGTTATCTCACCCTGTATATCTGCCAACCCCTTCTGGTACCTCACCCACAGAGGGTCACAATTTTCAATACTTTTATCTATCATAACTTGCAATACTTCCATCGACTATATCGGGTACCTCACGCACATTTTAACATTTTCTACAAATTATCATATGTCTCATATAAAGTGAAGGAAGTCCAAACCTGGCGCGTCGCAATATTTACATCGTATTTATTTAGGTCCGATATGAAATGCACAATAAGATATTGGCCCATTCCTTCGGAACCTACTCCATAGTGGATCAACAATTTGAATAATTATAACAGAAGTCAAAATATATTTAAATAATCGAACATGGGCTGAGGGTATACATGATATTTTTTATCTTGTTTTCATTAACATCTGATATTTTCTTCGACGTTTTTTTTCAATTTGAACATTTTCATTATAATTTTTTACCAAATATTGAATTAATGCTCGTAATTCTTTTTCTTTTCTTCCCATTACAGGTTCTTCATCAACGGCCCTAGTCGTTCCCAATGAATTGCCTTCCATACTTTCACTTGTGTACTCCAATATACCACCCATCAAAAAAGGTTATCTTTCAAAATCAATCTCAAACCTCACACACTGGGCAAAAAAGTCTGATATTTCTAATCATCTCTCATTACAGGTACCGATTCACGACTTGGCTTTGGCTTTAGACTCGGTAATCATGCCGATTTTCAAGTTATGGTTGAATTGGGTCCCCAAAAGGAAACTCGGCCCATTGGTGATCAGGACAGTGGATCATCCTTCAATAAAAGACAGGTGAATAGACAACAACAACGGGCTGTGCAAAGAGACGCCATAAGAGCGGAACAGAAACCACACAGAGAAGTAGCCAAGCCGGAAGCAACACCATCAGCAACAAATTCTTGGCTAGAAAAATGGGCAAGTCAGGTGAATGATGCCACAACGGCAAAGAAGAAAGTGGCGCCCAAGCCAAAGCCATACAAAAAACAAGTTACACCTAAACCAGCACAAATTGTACCTGTGATGCCTCAACAAATGCAAGCAATTCAGCAGCTGCAAATGCTATATAAAATGGCCACCACGACAACAAATGAAAATTTGGCCTCAACCACTACTACTACTACGACCACAGTGGCACCCGATGCAGCAGATCGTGCTATGCAAAATATTCAGCAACGATTACAACTCTACAAGCCTCCCGCTAACTTAGAAGAATTACAAGTTTTAATGCAAAAATCCCAGGCTCAAAGCAAGGCGGAAATCACCAAGGAACTGATGGATGTCAATTTGGATGAGTGATACCGCAAATGAGAATTTTTAGTTATATTGGTGACATTGTACCTACATATCAATTACATATCCTTTGTATCATATCATATGCTCTCTTTTTTTTGTAAATAAATTGTTGGTAGACATAAGATCTAAAACATGTTTTAGAAAAATTTAATGCGTCTTAAAAATTAATATGATTATGAAATAATCAAGGTAGGACATTTATATTCCTTTATATTCTTCCATCGTAATAATGAACTTAGATGGAAATATTTTTAAATGGTACCACTATACTTGTTAAGAATTAAAAAAGTAAAAAAGCAGCTAAGTTCGGCCGGGTCGAACTTTTAATACCCTTCACCATTTGGAAGGAACTTGAAAATTTAAAAAAAAACTTCCGGAAACTGCCACATAAATGAAAACTTTTATATGAATACTATACGAAGACGTGGACATGCTTACGAAATTTTTTATCAGAGGCTGTTGTACCAATTACGAACTTCAAATATCAATTTGAAATAATTCCGGTGAATAATGTCGCACAAATCATAAAAATACCGATTATTGGGAGGTACCGTCATATGGGGGTTATACGAAGACGTGGACCTGAATACAAAAATTTTTGTCATAGGCTGTAGCACCCATTACGGACTTCAAATACCAAATTTGAAACAATTCCAGTGAATAATGTCGCTAAAATCATCAAAATACCGAATATCGGGAGGTGCCGTTATATGGGGGCTATACGAAGACGTTGACCTGCACAGACAATCTCCTGTCGCAGGCTGTAGCATGCATTATGAACATCAAACACCAAATTTGAAACAATTCCGGTGAATAGTGTAGCTAAAATCATCAAAATACCGAATATCGGGAGGTACCGTTATATGGGGGCTATACCAAGACGTGGGCCTGCACAGACAATCTCCTGTCATAGGCTGTAGCATCCATTACGAACATCAAATATCAAATTTGAAATAATTCCGGTGAATAATGTCGCTAAAATCATCAAAATACCGAATATCGGGAGCTACTATACGAAGATGTGGACCTGCATAGACAACTTTCTGTCATAGGAATTTGAAAGAAATCCGTTGAATAATGTCGCTAAAGTCAACAAAGAACATGGTCCATTTTCAATACCAAAAGTCCTGCAGACATTATATACATTTGAGTAAAATTTTATCAATCTACTTCAATTTGTTCGGAAGCTAGAGTGATTTCCACAGACGGGCGGACATCGCTAAATTTACATAGAATTTTATAGAATATTTATACTTTGTGGGATCTAAAATATATGTTTCGAGGTTTTACAATCAGAATGACAAACCCTTACTACTATGATGGAGGGTATAAATAAAACCATAGATTTTTCTTGACAATTTTGTGAAACATGCCGTTAGCCTTGCCAGTATATTTATAAAATGGCAGAAATATTCAAATCAAACTGTTTCACTAATAATATCAAAATGTAGATGGCTCTGTCGTTAGCTGTAAATACGACAGCTTCGTGTGGAAACGAAAATATAGACACAGTTTTTGTCTGTGCTGGCCTATTGTGAATGAAATGTTCAACTCTATTAAAGACATGAATCAGCATGCACTCAGAGCCATCTAGACTTGAATTCATGCAACGAGTTATAAATGCTTTAACCCCGCGTTGATGAAATGCAATGAACTCAGCATTAACAGTAAATATATAAGTCATACCCTAGGACTGACGGCGGCCCTAATTTATATTAAATCACGAATTGGAACTGAATTTAATCTGTTTTACGCAAATTTCATATGGCAGCACTTCCGAAAATCAATCAGCTGTAGATATATTGTTTACGTTTGGGAAAATCAAAAAGGATAACAGACAGACAACAAAACGAGATATGTAAGTATTTTCATTGGTTTTACGTAAACAAACAAATTAACAAATAACCGTCGGTTTTGCCGACAGATGTATATCCCCTCAGCTACTGTCAGTTTATTTACATATATTTTGACATCCATTGCGATTATTTAAAATGTTTAACCTTTGGTCCGATAAATATTACAACGTGCCTCATTGGGACTATATCGATTACCTCCTTCCATTTATATGAGATATTTTTTAGAAAATATTAAAATGTGCGTGAGTTACCAGATATAATCGACAAAAGTATAGGGTGGGATGGAAAAACTGCAACCAACTTCAGACTGCTGTCATTTCTAAGCGACAGCTGTTAAAATTATTTCAGTGACAGCTCATTATATTGTTTATAAGCGTACAAAAGCATTTTGGTGAGAATTTTCCAGAAAAAACAATTATTCGTGATGGAATTCAAGCGTGATAGTGTGATTTCTTTATATTTGGCCGGAAAACCACAAGTGGCTATCGTTAGAGCACTCCAGCATTTAAATGTAAATAAATCCTTTGTGTCTAGTACCATCGCTCGTTACCATGATACTGGTAGCGTAGCCCGAGGTCAAGGAAGGAAATGGACGGAATAAAACAGCAACATCAGCAGAAACGGAAGCGACTTGCTCGAAACCCGCGTCGCAGTGGATGAAAAATGGCTCGTTACCTGAATATATCACAATATTCCATTCGGCAAATATTGAAAAATGAGCTCGGGGTAAAGCCATTGGAATTCCAAAAAGTGTATATGGGGGCTTTACGAAAATATAGATAGACATGGCCCTTGTATAAACCTATTGGCAAAAAAACACAAGTGTGCAAAATTTTAGCCTTTTATCTCATTCGGTTCGAAAGATAGCGTGATGACAACCTCCAGGGTATGGTGGAAGTTATAAAAATTGATGCAGAAACAATGTAATATTTTAATATAAATAATATATTTACATAAAAATAAACATACATCCAATTTGCAGGGAAAAGGAACTGGATCCTTCTGGCGGGAGCCCATCCAAATGGAGATACTACAACGCTGTCCACAGAAAAATCGGTTGTAATGCACCGAACAGTGCAAAAGTGCTTGAGTCATTTCTAATTTCAATTTCTAAGTACATATTGATTTCTGTAAAAAAAAATTTGCTTATTCATTTATTAACATTTTTTTTCCAAATTGAAGGAAAAGAAACAATTTAGAATAAGTAAGAAGAAGAATTTAATATTGATTGGTGAAACTCAACGCTATTGCGTTCCTAATAAGCGATGCAGATATGTCATGGGCTCCAATTCTTGTTGTATGATAGGATATGGTTGTTGTATGGTATCGATAGATATGTATTCCATCCATGCAGGAGAAACTTCGTCGTTATCAATTAAAAAAGGTCTGCAGTACACAACATTTTTTTTTTCTGATTATGTTAAAATATTCCTCCGAAACTAGCTTTTAGTTGGCAAATGCATTTTCAATCACACTACGGCATCGAGACAGATGGTTGATTAATTGAATATGGAAACGGATTCTTCATATGTCGGGATGAGCGAAATCCAGAATCACCAATCAGCAACGCCGGCACATTAATGCCGGAAATAATTTTACTACTTTAGTTAAATATATCAGCGTTTTCATGAGCTTTTTTAAGAACTCCGTTCAAAGATGTACGAGTAATGTGTGTTTCTTTGTCCGCTTGATCCAATGTTTATATAAATGTAAATTGTGGTCTCCGAAATATTGAATATAGTATTAATGAGTAAACTTATAGATAAAATAAATAAAAGAGTAAACTTTAAAATAAAATTTACCTGTAGTCACAACTTGCCAAAAAAATAACTGCATACCAGCCTTTTTTGGCTGAATTTCTATATGATATTCATCTGGAGCACCAAAACATTGCGGAAATCCACGACGATGGAAACTATCTACAATTCGTTTAACTTCTTCGATTTTGGAGGAAAGGAATCAATGCATTGTGATAAGTTCTTGCATATTTCGTTGCAAAAATTTAAAACGATTTCACCAACGGAAAAAAATCCCAGCAGTCCTATTTTCCGCAGCCGATCCCAATACAAATAATGCGATTGCTACTCTATTTTGCAGTGGGATACATCGCTTCAATTTTTTGGTGCTCACCCTCTTCATTTTTTTAACTTTTTAGAAAACATTGTTATTGAGACGAAAATTTCATTAAATCAATCATCCATCTTAGGTACATCAAATTCCCAAAAATCCGATCCGATCTAATCCTATAAATAAATGCATATTGTATATAGTTATTATTCAAATTTAAAATAGAATCATACTAACAAATGTCCACAATTGTCTATTTCTTATTTCAGAGAGTTCCATTGATATTTCAAGTTATACCAAAATGTTCATATTCGTGTTTTTAAGTTATGAAGCAGTTTCAGCAATAGTGATTTCAGTTTATTTTGTAAGAGGTTGTTGTTTTCCCACATAGCATAGTTCGTAATCTTATGTTCTGTCTTCTATGCATATTTTAAATATTGTAATCTAAATATGATAGTTTTTCTAGCAATAGCTAACAGTTAATTACACGCTATCAGCTGTTTCGTAAATGCAAATACTGTCATGACATTACTATTACATTAACAAAGGACAGTTCACAAAACACAAAAGTTGTGTGCCAGGACTAAAAAGTTTCTACTACTTTTGACCAAAAAGCCATTGCCGTACTCCAAATGTTTAATTATCTTTAAACAAATACGGCACTCTTTCTCTTTAGAAATAAGTTTAGCGATTAAAAGTGGAAATCTGTCAAAATAGCGAATTTGAAATTTCATTCAATTCAATTCCACGTGGTATTTGATGTTTCTAATGAAACCAAATGCACAATTTTTGCTCTGTTCCAGAACCTGCAAGAATCTACGATTTTTGCATTTTTTTTCGATTTCATAAAGGAAAAATCAGTTATCGTAGTAAAAACTTTTACATTTTTGCAGCTCTGGAACAGGCCGTTTGTTATATTTTTGTAGTAGACAGCATTTTTAATGGGAATTGAAATCTTTCAACTTGGTAGAAGAATACAGGTAGATACATTAACGTTTGGGAACATAGATATGTCAACATTTTTAATTTTTTTTTTTTTTTTTCAAAAATAATTAGATATTTATATGTTTTCTTATACGATGCCCATCGATGGTTCTTATTATATGCATTTCTCAATAATTTTAACGAATTTGAATAGTTTTTCATTCACAATTTTTAGTTTTAAGTTTGGTTTGACAGTTCATTGTCCCAGTAGCTGTGTCGATGCG